GATTTGGATTTGGGTCGCATGAAATGCACACCCGAGTTTAGGAAGGTACAGTTATTAAAGGACGCGCCTAAAGCGACTAACGTGTTATTAACTTTGGGGGAGGCTATGAAAATTCGCTAAATAGCACGCCCCGAATTCTAAGTATTTTAATATAAACATTCGAAGAGGGCCACGCAATTTGTCATTTCATTTGGCACGGCGCACCTCAATTTATTTTAAAGGCCAACCTAAAAGAAACTACAATTTTCTATTAAAGTATTGTCTGTAAAAGGGCCCTAATTAATCAATTTTATCAGTTGCTATTATTTAAAACAAACAAGGAGTTTGGGTCTCAAGTTCAAGTCCACACTTGAACAAAAGGCAAACCTCTTAATTCAAGCATGCTACTTAACTAGGAGGCCCAAAACCCAAGTTATAAATTTAAACCCGTGATCTTAATAAAAATTCCAATCTTCAGCATGTTTGGGCTTCAAATTAGCCCAATAAAAGGAGTTTTCAACCAGCTTAATAAGAAACAATTGGTATTAGGCCCGCGATCAGGCCTAAATGAGAAGAGAAAAATGTTTGACATTGGGCCAACAGATTCAGGCCCAGGTCTGATTCAAATTAAAACAGTCACGTTTGGGCTTCAAAAGATTTCAGGAAATAAAAAAAAACAAAAAAAATGGAATTTGATTATCTTTAAACATCATTATAACGCCAAATCATATTCATAATGAAGACATAATCCAGTAATGGTTCATTCACTATCACCTTGTTACTTAAATCCCAATACCATTCATGACCTTTCGATTAATGAAACGGATGCATTCAACAACTAGATGTCACATATATAGAATTAACTAGCTAAAGTAATCAACAACCATCCAAATTATCCCAAATCATGTTGGAATAATATTTGCGGTCCTGAATCCTAAACAGGCTCGTATGAACAGAACTTCATGCCGTAACAACTAGCATTTCCATTTTTCAGCTAACTAAACACAAATTATATGAAAGTATCAACCAATTACAGCTAAAATATAAAATATATCACCCTAGAGCTTCGACTATGACTTTCAAGACCAAATCTGAGTGATTCTCAGCCAGACATTCATAAAGGCTAGAACCCTGATGCAGCACCAAACATAAACTCAAACAGTTAAAGTCCATTGTTCAACTACGGACACAGATTGAAAAAAAATACAACACCAGGTCATTCTCACACACTAGATTTCAGAAGGAATGGCAGGCCCTAACTAACATTTATAACTTGAGCTTTAATTACAGAACATAAAGCAGTAAAAAGAGAAGAGAAATTCAGCTTCAAATAAGGTCTTCATTTAACAAAACTTCAAATCTTTACATGCCCCATAATCAAATCTCAACCATGAGCCAAGGAAATACCTCGACAAAAACAAAGGAAAAGGTGAGGAATGCAGCAGTAACAGCAACAGATCGATCCCAGGTGCAGGAGATTGAATTCTCAAGGTAAGAAACCGATGAAACAGTGATTTCAAATAGCTTAGCCCCGAAATTCCAAAAAAAATCAACCTCAAACCATTTTTAATCAAAGAATTTGCTCCAGAAATTCAAAGAGACCTCAAAGTTCAAGTTTAAACCCAGTGAAACAGTAATTTCAATATTTAGCCACCTGAAATCTGTAAAGGTTTTTTCAGTGCTTCCAAATCTGCCTTCTAAGGCAAGAAAGAGTGCCTTTATAGGCAAAACCAAATAGGGAAGCCCTCAGATTCTCATTTTTACACCTTATACCTCTTTTAATTTTTACTTTTGCCCTAGGGTATCCTCTTAATTTTTTTGACTTTGCTACCAAGTTAAACCACCAAATTGTATGAAATTCTCGTTAAAACCCTTACTAGAGATTTCTGAATCAGTTACCAAAAGATTCCCTACCCACAATTTCCAAAATTACCTCTAATTCCTCTTATTTACCCTTGACCCTACCTTATGGATCAAGATTGACCAAGGCTCTAATTCAAGTAACAGACAAGAGGCCCAAACCAACAGAACCAATCATGAGCCAATTCACACTAGACGGGAAACAGAAACAACTTCAAATATTCTCAGAAGTCCAATTAATGACCTATGAAACTAAACTAACCTAGTTGAACGGGAATTATTTACCAATTAAAGAAAAGAGCTTCTAATCATGCATTCAAAAGAACAAACATGAAAAAAAAGAAATTTAGAAACAGAAAGACGAAGCAGATGAACAAACAAAAATAAGAAAAATAAACAATGAAAAGCAAGATTTAACAACGGAAAATACCTAAGGCTCTGGACAGACTTGCATGAACTTGAAATAATCTTCGATTTCTTGACAGGAATAACCTTTAATCGCGCGTTTTCTATGAAAACGTGCAAGTAAAGGCCATTACAGCCTAGAATCTTACAAAGCCCCCCGTTGAATTTGAATTTGAAACTAGGGCACAATTCTCTGATTGGGTGTTCGAGAAGCTTTGGAAGGATTTGAGGGAGGAGGATGGTAGATTTGGGATAAGGAGGGCCTGGGGATTCTTTGTTGTTAGTTTGGTGGTGGTTGGTGGTGGCGCCGCCACCGGAGAAAACAGGGCGGCGGCTAGGGTTTCGGAGTTTTGAGGGATTCCGGTGGGATTTGAAGGGAGCTGGTGGTGGATTCATGATGAGGAAGGGGAGAGGGAGCTTTGGCGCGAGTTTGGGGGTGTTTGGTGGTCGGCGTTTGAAGGCGGAGCTCGGCGGGGTCTTTGAAGAGTTTAGAGAGATGACTGGGGGGTAGGGGGAACGTTTGGACATATAAATATTAATGATACCCCTAGTTCGAGACCGTAGGATCAAAGATCCTCGACGGTCCAGATTGATTTTGGTCAAAACGGTGTCGTTTGGGTGTAACGGGGAATTGGACCGGGTTTTGGAATGGGTATGGACTGGAACGGGTAAGCCATGTATACTGGGCTGAGGTAATTTAAGCAAAATGGCCCAACAGACCCAAATTCCTTCTCTTTTGTTTTTATTTCCTTTTCCTTTTCAATTTTTTTTTCTTTTAATTCTTTTATTTCAAAATTAAACTAAACCCCAAGTTAATTCTAAAAACTAAATTGAAACTACCAAGTCAGGTTAATTAACCCTAACAACTATCACAAACTAATCGAATATCAAATTAAATGAAAATTAGCCAAATTCAAAGCTACTAGTTAAACAATGCCAAGATAAACTATTTTTGTGATTTTGTATTTTTGTAAGACTCCTAATTACTAATTGATTCCACATATGTAAACTTAAGCCCTAAATGCAATGCTTATATTTTTGTATTTTTATATGAATTAAGATGCACACACAAATGCAAACAATTAACAGAAAATGCCACAAAACGCAACAAAATTAAAAATAACCATGAGAAGAAATTATTTTGTTTGAAATTATGGGAGCAATTCATATAGGGCAAAAATCACGTGCTCACAGGTGTTGTGTGGGGAGATCCATGTTATTTATAAACCTAGGACCCCTTCCCTTTTTATTTGCTTACTTCCTTTTTTTTCCAGAATTTTAAAATCGTTTAATTTTCAGTTCTTCAACTTCTGCTTTACTTCAATTACTTGCACCTATTGTGCACAAGCTCTTTTAATTGTCTGGTTTTCAGCACTGTTTTCTTCCCCAAACCTCCGCCTCTTTCACTTCTTTGTTTGATTACTTGCATAAATTATTTGACCCCCTTTCTCCTGTACTTGTATATCCTTTTCTTTTAAATAATTATGAAGTCGCCTACTTCTAAATTTCAGCATGCTTTTAACTTTTATACTTCAGTTGTTTGCAATCGTTATGAGAAAGCTATCTTGTTTGCTTGTTTACTTGTTGTTATATTTAAAGTCACAATTGTAGCATGGCCGGGAACCACACTAGTGGATCTTGGGGGGTGCCTAACACCTTCCCCTCGAGATAATTTCAAGCCCTTACATTCTCTGGTTCTTCTTTTTAAGTTAAATTTCTTCTTAGTGTTCTAATGCACTTAATCATTAGGTGGAGACTTTTCTAAATTGCAAACCCAATTCCCAAAAGGAAAAGAGTTGTCCGCCCAAATGTCATAAACCCGATTTTGCGAGAAAAGGGGGGCATCGACACCTGCAAAAACTAATATGAATGTTTGTCACTTCTCAATTTCTAAAGCAATGCAGAAACCATAGAAAATTAGAACAACTACTATATGAACCATATGCCGAAACATGTAGAGGTAAATCCACGTACTCTCAAACATATGAGGGGTAAAGGACAAATAAAACATCATGCCTTTTATTTTCTAAAGTCATACACTATCTATTCAAATGCTTTACCTACTCTTTTTCTTGCTTTGCACTCAAAATATGTTATATATATTGTGAACAGAATAATAGAAGTTGCCAACCAATTGCCTTGAAGAGAAGCAGAATTTGCTTCTATTAAGTAAAAGAGTAGGCTTCTCTCTGCATCTTATTGCCTATTATATAAGTGAACTGAGTTTAAGAGAAGTTATCACCAATTGCCTTGGGAGAGAAGGGGAAACATCGATCATTAGTGATGATCAGCACAATGGGATTGCTGCAGAGTTGGGGTGGTTTAGGGGCTAGCATTGCTAGTTTCATATTCATGTGGGATATGATCCGTCGATACTGTCCCCTCGAGCTCATTCGAGCTTCAAACAAGTGGACAAGAAGAATCAAGAGCTTTTTCTACCCTTTCATTCAGATTTCCATAAATTCATGAGCAACAATCAGTACTTTTTTTATTTTAAATAAGCAATATTAATACCTGGAATGAGTTGACCTTCTTTGTTGCAATTAGTAGATGGACGACGGATTGGTTGCAAAGTTGTTTGTTGCGTAGAAGAAGCTTCTCCGGGAGAATTATCACCCAATGCCACTAGAATAATATTAGCATCAATATCAATTCCTGAACACTGAAGTCGTGCAAGGACATCTGCAACAACTTCTTGACGGATAGTTGCATTTTGTTCCTCAATTTTTTCCTCCATTCTTTGTATCTTCTCCTCCATTTTTGTAAAAAATTTGTAGCATTTGAAGAGGATTCAAAACATCCTACTTTCCCTCTCAAAGAAGTTCTTGGTTCCCTCGTCCATACAATCTCTGACATCTCGAATGTTCAGGCCCCGTGACAGATGCAAATTTATCTAAGGACTCATTGCCATTTTTATTTTGTTGTGCTTTAGTTTCCTCCATTTCAACCTTCAAAGAATATTCAAACAAATATAACAAGTAAATAAAAAGTAAACTAATAAAAATAAATAATTGATCTCGATATAACATCAGCTAAATATAATTCGCACAATTTTACTAGTTTGTATCTTCATCCGAGCACTTGTATGATCGCCCATCTTTCCTTTTTTCTTGTAGCTACAAAGAGTTCCTTTGCTGATAAAGGATCCCAATTTTCCTTGTCGTTTTCCTAGTCACATGAAAGTGAGTTAGCATTCCTGGTGATCTACCATGTATTAAACAAGAGCAAAAATTGAGAAATTTTTTGCCATAATTTGCTAGCTACGCACCAACTTTGAGCGAACTAAAGCAAAACTTCTTTTTCCAGCAGTGTGAGGATTCTTCAACTTTTTCCGGTTCTCAATATTATTTGGGACATTTTCTGCTAGAAGAAACAAACATCAAACAACTTACAAAATCACTAAGCAGATTCATGCAGTAGCCAAAAGAGGACAGGAATTAGCTGTTAGAAACAACTTGCAACTTCCCAGAAGAGCCTTGGAAAGTTCAAAAGTTAGGCTTATAGCCAGCAGATTTGCTAGTTAAACAGTTTGCTACTGCCCAGCAGATTCATGCAACTGCTTGAATTTCAAGACTCTAAAGTAACAGTTTAAAATTCTAGTAGCATTGAGTCAAGGCATTATTTCTGTGATTATTTAACTACTATGAAAGGTTCGAACTGAAATTTATGATTTTCAGAATTAACTAATCAACATACAAGTAACATGAACAACAATCATTGGTCCAGCAGATGAAAAAACATTAATGGCTTCAGAAGACATCTACTAAGGATGTGAAAAAAGTGGGCCAAAGATGGCATTAAACGGAAAGGTCGAAAGTAAAGCAGAAGCTATTAGTATTTCTTGCATTCTGGTCAACATAAGTGAAGACATAGTTCTCTTTAATTCTTCAATATTTTTGAGCAATTTCTCATTCTCAATATTGTCACTTCTTATTTCAACATCTAAAACTGTAATTCACATCAAACTCTAATTCAGAACCAAAGGGATTGAAATGAAACACCCATTGCTGTATCTTTTACCAAGCATACATAATTTAAAGTTCTTGCAGAGTTGTTGATAAATAGAGCAATGTTATTTCAAGCTTTTTACACGTAAAACAAAAGCTCAGACGAAAAATATAGAAGAGGCTATAAGAGCTATTGACATTATTATATCACTAATCAAGCATACAACAAGAATTTTACAATGTTTCAACAAAAGATGTCAAATTTGTGCCTTTTGCACCCCAGTTCATCTTGCATCCCTTTACTAGTTAGTAATGAATAGTGCCTTTTGCACCCCAATTCACCCCTAGAAAACAATAACTTAATAGATACATATCATCAGTGGGAAACACTTAGAAAACAGCTCCTAACCATCAATTTCGCTAACATAGAATTACCAGATGTCACAACCTATTCCAATGAATCTACTTCAATGGAAACCAGAACAAAGATGACGTTTGGGCGCAAAAAAACCAGCAGCAGTTACACAGAGAAAGGAGGAGGAAACATCTCCAGGAACTTTAAGAAGAAGAAAAAGAACTTTAAGAAGAAGTTCCAGAAGAAGAAGACGAAGAAGTAGAAGTAGAAAGAAGTACACATACCTGGAGTTTCTCTGAGTTCCAATACCTAAGGAGTTCCTTAAACTGAGAAGATGGAAAACCTTCAGGGATATTTTGCAATCGAGTTTCATCATTGTGATAGGAATCAAAATGATCTTTTTTCAATCTACTCTTGTGCTTTCTCCAGACAGCTTGCACTGATTCCAAAGTATATTTTTTTCCAGCTTCAGGAATATCATATTTATCCTACAATTGATGTCAAATCTGTTAGTGTAGAAAAATGAAAGATTTTCAACCAAAAATTAAAACGTAAGAAGCTCAGACCTTGGTATATTCCCATATATCCTCTTTTGTGTCCATCTTCCTCCAATCCAAAATATCAAGAGGACATAGAGTCGCATTCCTTGCCAATGTGCCGAGGAAGCTTCCAAACTCTGTAACAACTGCGTCACTAGGACCGACGGGTTGATTTAAGTTGTTAAGTAAAATCAATTTATGCTCATGTCGTCCATGTACACTTTTCATCTTTGTTTTTCCTCTTTTTCTTGTTTTATTAGAAGGGCCTTCAACTACTCGAACCAAACAAAATCACCAAATCACTATTGTTGGTACATTTTTATGACTGAAATAGGATGTAAATATTTTTAGATAAAGTCTATAGTTTCTTATCTTGTTCTTCACATTGTTCATCTCCAATAGGAGTTGTAGAATCCAACTAAACTTGTTCCTCTATTACTTGTGTTGTAGGAGTGGTTGATCTTCTTTGTACATGGGCTGCTACTTTTGAATATTGTGGCAATAGCAGATTCTCTTCGATGATATTCAGATGCTCCTTGTTTGATTGTCTAGCAGGAACAACATATTTTGTAGAAGTGGTTGATCTAGTTTGTGCATGGGCTACTGCTCCTGGCAGATTCTCTACAGTAATATTCGGCCGCTCTTTGTTTGATTGTCTAGCGGGAACAATATATTTTTGGCTAAACGAAGTCCTTATTTGGTTTGCCAAAGATGTCATTATATCAGGTTTTGTGTATGTCGTGCTTGTCTTTCTTTTGGGCTTTGAAGGTCTTTCTTGACTCATATCTATCAAATCTGACAAAGAATACAAATAAAAATAGCTTTATTAGGTGTTATATAAATGACAACAGTAGAATACCAAATAAAGTGCAGCTTCATATGATAAGTTAAGGATATGCATAGAATAGTTTCAGAGTAAACTATGGCAATGCGCTGCATATGATAGTTTCAGAGTTAACTATGGCCTCATGGTAAGTTGAAAAAGATGCATATATGATGGTTTCCAAGTAATGGTTTCAGATTGCAAGACAAGGAAAAACTAGAGGAAAAAGTGAAACTATTACAGCTATGAACTGCAAAAGTTTTTCCGAATATTTCAACCAGATATTATTCCTATAAATTACTATTTTCTCTTTATAACTGAATGTCGATTAAGACGGAACTTGTCTCAGTGTTGAAAAGGATACATACTTCTTCACCGAAGTAAACTATGAACTTGTCTAAGCATTAAAAAGAAAACATTCTTATTCATTGAAGTAAAATATGGTTCTAACTCAACTGTACTGACGGGGTAAGTTCTTTTAATACCTGAAATATTCTGACTGCTGCAAATTTGTCTAACACCGTCTTTGTCTGTGCTGGGTGCAACTTTAAAGGTTGTACTAACAGCTCAACATTCTGAAAGCAAAATAGTACATATAATTGTTCGTCACTTCACATTTGAAAGCAAAAGCTTGCTTATAGTTATTTAAAGTCATACTGTGGTAGGCCTAAATCCTTCTTTTACATGCAACTATAAGTTAACATCAAATTGGTCTATACTAACATTAAATCACTATTGGGCAAGCTTTTCAATATTCTCTATTTTAACATATGAAGTATTTTATACACTAGGATAATTTTTTTATAAGAATAAATATGTATATTAGATCAACCAAAATCTAGCAAGTTTGTCTAATTTCAAACATGTACATGTTGTGAACAGAGAAGGAGTAAAAAACAAAGCTAGCTAAGAGTTAGTTTTGTCACGTCCAATTTGAAACATAAATACAATGGCTAAAATAATTAAAGAACTGTCAAGCTTCTACAAGTATGGTTTAATAGAAGCATTTTCAATATGATCCAAGAAATGGCCTCCCAGACGGCCAAAAGGAGCTTTTCAATTTTTTACATTCGCCAAAAATAATGGGGTTAAAGTTTTTGTAAACTATATTACAAATGCCAAAAAGTCTATCACGGGACACTGATATATTTTCACAACATTGAAATGAAGTTGTGATTTTTAAGCAATATTACCACAGAACAAAAAAATGTCGAAATGCTTTTTCAGAATAACGAACGAGACAACGGACGTCGAACATCAAACAGAAATCACAATGGGTTTATCAGGGTTTCTAACACGAAATCAAAATTCACCAGCAAAACCCCCAAATATGAAAACTAGAAATCACAAAATGTATAATGCAAACAACAAAAAGAAGTAAAATTATGAGTTTATCGGCAATATTACCAAAGAAAAAAAGGAGGAGCATTGAAACGATTTTCCAGAATAACGAACAAGATAACCAGCATCGATAATCGACAACAAACATCGAACACGGGAAATCTCATGGTTTCTAACGTGAAATAAAAATCCACCAAGAAAACCCCCAATTATAAATTAGAAATAACAAAAATTATCATAAAAAACAGACAAAGAACATAAGAAAAATTATGGGTGTATGAGAAATATTACCAGTTAAAGAAAACCGGCGAAGTAGCAACATTATTTTTCAGCGAAACATCGAAATTCCATACAAATACCGAACAGGGAGAAAATACTGACATCCAACATCGGATTTGGCCTTACATTAGCAGAAGTGGACGTCTTTCACTGGAATCGGTCTTCCTTCGCTAGAGTAGACAGTAGATTTTGGTCGATTTTGATTCTAGGTTAACACTCTGTTTGGATCATTGTTCCCCGTCCTTTTATAATGTATCGTATTGTACTGTATTGTATTGTATTGTATCGTTTTATGAATACAATGTTTGGATAGATTGTATTGTTTGTTGTTATTAAATAACATTTTGCTGTTTGGTTTGACTGTGTCGTACTTTACCGTAACTGATAAGTTTACTAAAATACGCTCAATTGTTTTAAATATTTAATTTATCAAGAATTACACATAAAATTATTTAAGAAAACCCCTTTCTACTAATTTATCACCAATTATGTCTTATATATGAATTAAGCAATTAAATTCATGCAAATTCTATCGAAATTAATTGAACAAGCTAATAATTTTAAAAATAATAATAAGTACACTATATTCATAATTAGATACAAATTAAAGAGTTAGTTGAAGAATGTAAACCAGGGTGTATTCACTTAAGATTGCCATTCCATTTTTTCTCTCTTTCTTTATGTGAACTCTTTTCACTGGTTTCTGTGAATAGGAGTCGTTATCTTCTGGTGAGTTCGTCAAACTTCTGATATTTAGTTATTTTTCTGCTGGGTTCCTGCACATCTGAACCTTCTTTTCTTCAAATTATAAGAAGTTTAAGAATCTCTTTTATTATTTTTGTCCTTCTTTTATCTTCTAAATCACAATTTATTTGGACTTTTGGGATTATATTTTTTGTTAACTAATTAATAGGGAATCCAATGTTAAGAATTTTTGTTTGTAAATTTTAATGTAACTTTTCTCGTGTACTGTTTAACAATAATGTATCTTATGAAAGAGTAATTAAATTACTTAGTTATATATATTTGGGTATATATTACTTAGTAAATCACATTAGTAAACCATACTGGTCATCAAATACTTATCTTAAACAAATAAGAATCGCCAAAATAATTATATATAATTTCAGTGTAATAGGAGATTAACTACTCAAACAACTAGATTTAGTTGCAATACAATAGGAGATAAAATAATTATAATTGAAATTACAAATCACAATAAAAGAAAGAATGAGACAAAAGTAAAGTAAAACCTTTACCTGAAGAGTATGAAAGCGGCAAAGAACGTTCACGTATGTAGGTTATACGTATGTAGGTTATTATTAAACTCCACGTAGTCTTTGAAAATTTATATAGGTTAATAGACTTCACGTAGAATTCTATTATAGAATTATATGAGAAAGAGACTTTGCTATTATTTAAAATAAAAAAGGTAAAAGGAAAATAGAATTATAAGGTAATAAATTAGGGCATAATTAGAAAGAAAAGTAGGAAACAATCCCACCACACCAAATCGGTTGTTTCAAAAAATGAGACTTTTCTTTGTTCCGGAACAATGGATTTAACAATACAATACAACCAATTTTAATTAAACAATCAAAACAAACATTGTTCTGGAAAAACAATACAATACGATACAATGGCTAACAACCATCCAAACAAGCTGTAAAGCTTAAATGAGGCGTGGGTTCTTAGGGAGAGAGACAAAATATTTTTTTAGAGTGTCTCTTTAAAATGTAAAGCATAAATTAGTAGTACTTAAAATGCATATGGGGTCCTACATTTTAACTTTTTTAATAAATATGTAGGAGGGAAAGAAAAGAGGGAAAAAATAACCGTCTCAATACACTTTTATTTTACCAAACCGTTCCTACAAATAACCCTATTGTATCGCCTTTAGAAACCGTCTCAATAGTTGTACTTATGGTAATGATTATTATAGTATTGGAATGGTTTTGCTTCAAAAGTGTCCCAAAAGCCCTTTGTCCCTACTGGTAAGATAAAAACCGTTCCAAAATATGATCTATTGTAATCGTTATATAACTGTTGCAGAATAATCGTTCCAATAGGCTCATTTTCTAGTAGTGTCCCGCTGACTTTGCTTGCCCTGTTCGGCTTTGATCTGATAGCAAGGTATGTATCATAGGGGTAGCGTTGCTGAACAAAGCGATTTTGATAATATACATGCATGAGTTTGTTAAAGATATGACATAAGTATATATTTAAGAAATAGTTTTTAGACGAACCGACGATTGTGACGTGGTTTAGGACATTGCAACCTCTCTCGCTTCGGAATTTTTAGGGTCCTCCTCAAATTTCTGCCCCAGTTTACTGGGCTGCTGCTTTGACGATTTCTTGCGATGATCGGCTGAAGTTACTTCGGAATTAGGAGGGTCCTCCTCAAAATTCTTCCCCAGTTTCCAAGCACGGGGGAGGGGATGAAAATTTTATTGAATTGTGACCCAACCCATAAGGCTGCCTACGTATCCCTTCTTAAACGGGAATCAGGTCAGACGTAGTTCAAATTACATCATATAGGAAAAGAATGAAGATTACACATAGCAGCGCTTGACTGCATCTGAATTGATTGGCTTTGGCCAAACTTCTCCATCCATTTCCGCAAGAATAAGGGCCCCTCCTTTTAGAACCCAATGAACCATGTATGGACCCTGCCAACTAGGAGAGAATTTCCATTTGGCTTCATCTTGATACGGGAAAATTTTCTTTAATACCAGCTGCCCCGCTGTGAACCGTCTTGGTTTGACTCTCATGTTGAAGGCTCTGGACATTCTGTTCTGATAAACCTGACCGTGGCAAACTGCATTCATTCTCTTCCCATCTATAAGAGCCAGCTGCTCGTAGCGGTTTCTCATCCATTCTGCATCGTCGAGCTCAACTTCTTATATGATCCTCAAGGAAAGAATCTCTACTTCGGCGGGGATGACTGTCTCTGTACCATAAACAGCATGTAAGGAGTTGCCCCAATCGATGTGCGGACTGTGGTGCGATAGCCCAATAAAGCGAATGATAGCTTTTCGTGCCATTGCTTATGCTTCTCTATCATCTTCCTTAGTATCTTCTTGATGTTTTTGTTGGCGGCTTCTACGGCTCCGTTCATCTGAGGCCTGTAGGCTGTGGAATTCTTGTGTTTGATCTTGAAGGTTTCACACAAAGCTTTCATTAAGTCACTGTTGAAGTTTGAGCCATTATCAGTAGTGATTGACTTTGAAATCCTGAACCGACAGACGATACGGTCGCGGACAAAGTCTGCCACAACCTTCTTAGTCACTACTTTGTAGGATGATGCTTCAACACATTTGGTAAAATAGTCAATTGCCACTAGGGTGAATCTGTGCCCGTTGGAAGCGGTCGGTTTGATTGGTCCAACAACATCCATTTCCCAAGCAACAAACGGCCATGGTAAGCTTGTTGCATTAAGCTCATTTGGAGGTACCTTTATCATTGTCTGCAAGTATCTGACAACGGTGGCATTTCCGGACGTACTGGATGCAATTTGTCTCCATAGTCATCCAAAAGTATCCAGCCCGGAGTATCTTCTTGGCTAAGACAAAACCGTTCATATGCGAACCACAGGTCCCGGCATGAATTTCCTCTAGCAGTTTAGATGCTTCCTTTGCGTCGACACATTTTAGTTATCCCAAATCCGGAGTCCTCCTATACAGGATTCCTCCTCTGTGAAAGAAATTGTTGGAAAATCTTCGACGCGTGTGCTTCTGAGTAGTATTTGCAAGCTCTGGATTTTCTCATTTTGCCAAATATTCCTTGATGTCGTGAAACCAAGGTTTTCCATCTGCTTCTTCTTCGACATGAGCACAATAAGCTGGATGATTATGGATTTTGACAGGAATAGGATCAATGAAGTTCGTATCTGGATGTTGTATCATGGACGATAGTGTATCCAATGCATCGGCAAACTCATTCTGGACTCTGGGAACATGCTGGAACTTCGTCTTTGTGAACCTCTTTCTCAACTCCTGCACATGGTGCAGATAAGGGAGTATCTTGGAATTCTTGGTCACCCATTCTCCTCATACATGATGTATGAGTAGGTCTGAGTCCCCAATTACTAGCAACTCTTGGATGTTCATGTCAATGGCCATCTTGAGCCCTAAGATGCAGGCTTCGTACTCGGCCTTGTTATTGGTGCACGGGAACCTGAGTTTGGCAGACACCGGATAATGCTGACCGGTTTCCGATACTAGGACTGCTCTTATGCCAACCCATTTGAAATTTGCTGCTCCGTCGAAAAACATTCTCCAATCGTCATATGATTCTGCAATATCTTCTCCTATGAATGATACCTCTTCGTCAGGAAAATACGTTTTTAGGGGTTCGTATTCCCCATCCACAGTGTTTTCAGCAAGGTGATCCACTAGTGCCTGTCCTTTGATTACTTTCTACGTTACGTAGACAATGTCGAATTCACTCAACAGGATTTGCCACATGGCTAGCTTGCCAGTGGGCATGGGCTTCTGAAAGATGTACTTCAAAGGATCCATCCTTGATATGAGATATGTAGTGTAGGCACAGAAGTAGTGCCTCAGCTTCTGGACCACCCAAGTCAGAGCACAGCACGTGCGTTCTAACAGAGAATACCGGGCTTCGTACCGAGTGAACATTTTGCTGAGGTAGTAAATGGCATGTTCTTTGTTTCCTGTCTCATCATGCTGCCCCAGAACGCAACCGAAGGCATCATCCAACACTGCGATGTAAAGTAGCAGAGGTGTCCCTGGTTCCGGTGGGACCAAGACTGGTGGCGTTAACAAGTATTCCTTGATTTTGTCAAAAGCTTTCTGGCAGTCATCAGTCCATTCGGTGGCGGCATCCTTCTTCAACATTTTGAAGATCGGCTCACAAATAATTGTAGATTGTGCTATGAACCGGCTGATGTAGTTGAGTCTCCCCAAGAAGCTCATTATTTCTTTCTTGTTCCTTGGTGGTGGCAATTCTTGGATGGCTTTGATCTTCGATGGATCCAATTCTATTCCTCGGCGACTCACAATGAACCCAAGCAATTTTCCAGCTGGAACCCAAATGCACATTTTGCGGGATTCAGTTTCAGGTTGTACCCTCACAATCTGTTGAAAAACTTCCTCAGATCTTCCATGTGATCAGTGGCTTTCTTGGACTTGATGATGACATCATCCACGTACACTTCGATCTCCTTGCGTATCATATCATGG